GGAAAGAGAAATAAAACAAACACTGAGAGAAAAAAAGTCAATTAGCCAAATATTTTATCTTTTCTGTGAATGTGTCAAATCTCATCCAAAAGGCCACATTTCATTTAAAACACAAAGGAGAAATTCCAACCAACTCAGTGCTTTAAGGGTTTTATTTCCCTGCTGAGTGATACAAAGTTATACATGCAGCAGGCAAACAGGATTAACTTTGGCTTCCATCCTACAGTGAGTTCTGTGCAATGGAAAACCTCTCATATCCATGTGGATTTTGGCTGACTTCCGTGGATCTCTGCTGGGGTCTGCCTACATGGATCACATCACAGTATCAGGACCTTTCTTTCTTGCTCTGCTGTGACACTAGGTGGAGAAGTTTGAAACGTGTCAACATTTTAACAAAAGTGCCACATTACCACGACTCATTTGCCAGCCAGCTCTGCTTTCATGGGTTTTGCTCACCTGAAACAAATCATCAGATTAAATTGATCATGGATCATCAATACTTGCTGCCTCCTTCTCCTTCACTTTTCATAGACATGAGCACTTGGGGGATGTTGTCCCCCTGCCTTACCTATAACAGGTTAGGGTTTCATGCCTTGTGGTTGTCAAAGATGGACCCCATAGTTTTACTAACAGTTTAGACAAGGATTTGTATAGGATAGTTTGAACAGGGATGACCCTGCTTCTGGTAGTGGGGAGGAGGGGGTTGGATTAGGTGACCTTTGAAGGTCTTTTCCAGCCCTACTTTTCTGATTTTGTGACCTGCCCAGAAGATTTAGTGGAGAAAGGCTGTATGGGAGAAATTGATACTACTTGGAAGAAGCATTGCCTTCTCTTAGCACAGCCTTTTGCATTTGTGTGTGGTGTACTTTCAGGGGAGATCTCAGCATCACAGGGGCAGCTTCTTGACCCTCCCTCCATCAACATGATGTTGCTTAGATGTCAGCCCAAAGAATCTCTAGTGGAAATACAAGGGTGGCTAAGGGTCAGCACAATTCCCATGTACCACCTTTCTGCATTGAAGGTTCATCCGGGCAGCAAAAGAAGGCAGGGGATAAGGTGGAACACAGGTCCTGGGTGGGGCAGCACTTCCTGTGGAACAGCTGAAGTCAGGACAGTTTAGAGCAGTCTTTAGACTGCTCAAAATTATACAAGGGACCACTCTGATATCTGGCCACTCCAGGAAGCAGGCAGGTGGCTGCTTTTGGGATGAAGAGAAGCCTCTGTCTCAGGACTCCTATCTGTTCAGAGCCAAGGACAGAAAGCTTAAGAGGCCTAGCTCTGTAATGGTTGAGTTCAGGAAAGCACCAGTGAAGAGTGTCATAAAGGGAACTGCAATCTAGTAAACTCTGAAAATTGAGCAGCTCATTTGTAGGAAGTGAAGAATATTAAAAACAAACAAGAACATTTGAAATCCACAGTATGTGTTAAGGCAGGGGTGGGAAAAATGCGACCCGCGGACCGAATGCGGCCTGCCAGGCCATTCTATCCGGCCCGCAGGGCCCCTAAAAAATTTAGAAAGTTAATATTTATCTGCCCCTGGCTGCCTGTCATGCGGCCCTTGATGCTTTGCCAAAACTCAGTAAGTGGCCCTCCGCCTGAAATAATTGCCTGCCCCTGTGTTAATGTCAGGTCAAAGCTGAATAGTAGTGTGTCAAACAGGAGATTTCTATAGAGAAGGCTGCGCTCACCATGCTATCCCAGCCACCTTGTACAGCTGTATTCTTCTTCTTCTGCCTTTTCCTGATTTAATGTAAATATTTCTGTCCTATTAACAGATAAGGTATAAGGTACAGTTTGCATATGGCAGCAGAGTTAAATCTTGGGAGTTTTGAAATATCCTGACTTTGGAAGTCTTAATTTCTCAAGCTTAAGGTTACAGTCCTGCAAAATTACCTGTTGTTTGTGGGTGGGGGGGGAGCTGTTTTGTTTTGAGGGCTTGAGGGGGGAGGGCTGCCTTTAAGATCTGATCCTGGTGTCATGGCCTCTCCCTAACTTCCACATGAGTAATAACCCCATTACAATAATATCCTTTTATATTTATCACCCTTTCTTGAAAACTTTCTGGCTGCTGTTGTAAATAGAGCCTCCAGATCTTGCAGTGAAACTAATTTTCTTGGAGGCAAGTCAGTTCCTGATCCTTTCTGTCCCAATTACTTGTGTTTTGTTAGTTTCCCATGGGGCTTTTGGATACATGCATTGATTCTCAGATGTGGAGACTCCACTTTTGTGTCTTATAATTGCATGTCTGTTGGTAATCTCTGCAGACACCAAGCTGAAGGGTGTATCTGGGAAAAGAGATGACATAATTTCTCCTGAAAGGTGACCTGTAAAGGAGCAAAATATTAGGGGTATTTGTGTTGAATGAAGAGACTAAGAATATCCTCCTCCCCCATTTGATTTTTTTTAAACAGAATAAATCCACATCTGCCCACCTTTTTCCCAGAAGGCTGTCTGAACGAATGGACAGGTTTATGACATCACAGATGCCAAGGAAGTGAAAGTGATCTGGTGAAGGATCTCACCTTTATCCTTGGAAAAAACTTTGAAAAAGTTATTAAGGATCACATTTGTGGGAGTCCAGTGGGGAAAGCAATACTAAAGGGCAACCAGCACAGATTCATAGCAAGCAGATCCTGCCTGACTAACCTTATTTCTTTTTATGACCAGGTCACAAAATGCTTAGACACAGGAATTGAAGCGGATGTCATCTACTTGGATTTTAAGAAGGCCTTCAATACGGTATCTCATTATAGTCTCATAGATAAACTGAGTGACTGTGACGTAGATGATTACATGGTCATGTGGGTGGCAGATTGGCTTAGGGGCTGCACCCAGAGGCTGGTGGTGGATGGGTCGGTATTGAGCTGGAAAGATGTGGGCAGGGGAGTCCCACAAGGCTCAGTCCTTGGACCGATGCTGTTCAATGTCTTCATTAGTGACTTGGATGAGGACGTGGAAAGCACCCTGTCCAAATTCACAGATGATACCATATTATGGGATTAAATTAACACACCAGATGGTAGGGAACGAATCCAGACGGATCTGGACAGGTTGGGAAAATGGGTGGAACAGAATAGGATGCGGTTCAATAGGGACAAATACAAGGTGCTGCACCTAGGAAGAATGAATCACCAGCACATTTACAGGCTGGGGGAGGACCTTCTCAGCAGCATGGCAGAGGAAAGGGATTTTGGAGTCGTTGACACCAAGATGAACATGAGTCGTCAATGTGACAAAACCATCAGTAAAGCTAGCCGCACTTTATCATGCATTAGCAGGTACATGACAAACAGGTCCAGGGAGGTGATACTTCCCCTTTACGCAGCATTGGTCAGGCTGCAGTTGAAGTACTGCATCCAGTTTTGGGCGCTGCACTTCAAGAAGGGATGTGGACAACCTCAAGAGGGTTCAGAGGAGGGTCACATATATGGTTAGAGGGCTGCAGGCAAAACCTCATGAGATTGAGGGCCCTGGATCTCTTCAGCCACCATAAGAGAAGGCTGAGAGGTGATCTTATGGCCACCTACAAATTCATCATGGGAGGAGAGCATGGAATAGGAGATTTCTTATTTACCAGGGCACCCCTTGGACTAACTAGGAACAATGGGCATGAACTGGCAGAGAACAGATTTAGGTTAGACATAAGGAAGATCTTTTTTACAGTAGGGGTTGCCAGAATCTGGAATGGGCTTCCAAGGGAGGTAGTGCTGTCCCTTACCCTGGGGATCTTTAAGAGGAGGCTAGACATGCACCTGGCTGGGGTTGTCTGACCCCAGTGCTCTTTCCTGCCTGGGACGGGGGGTTGGACTTGATGATCTGCTAAGGTCACTTCCAACCCAAACATCTATGAATAAGGACATGGTTTTCATTGAAAGTCTTTGGGCTGAGATGTTGGAGGTGCCCTAGCACCAACTCTCACTAAATTTGGTGGAAGCTGTGGGTGCTTGGCACCTCCGAAACTCAGGCCATTTCCTTTTGCATCTAGGAAAAAGGGTTATATGAAAAAACATTTGACACCCTGTCTGTGCTGGTATGGGCTGAGAGAGCCCCCAGTCTGTATCTCAGGAGACTGAGAGACCTCTAGCAAAATAGGGAGGATAAAACTTGACATGCCAGATGTTTCCATTAATGATGTAGCAATCAAATCACCTTTCAGATTTTGTTAAACCACTATGAAGGAATGAAAAACCAGAACCCCCATTTCTGCCCTTCTTCAGGTCACCTTTACCTGTGTGTGACACAGGGGTATCGTAACTGCAGAAACATACCCAAGGCAAGGTGTAGTCAAACATGTCTGCACTAGGAGAGCAGGGCCCTCTTCCTTGGATCTCTTGAATGTATTTTAATAATCCTTGCAGGGGCAGGACATTGACAGTGCCCTCATCCCCCTGCTTTACCTGTGGCAGGGTAGGGTTTTCTTGGTGTTGTGGGCCAATATGCCTTGTAGCTGTGTGACAGAGGAGTTTGTGTAGTTTTAGGAATAGGTTAGACAAGCACTTGTATGGGACAATTTGGATAGGAATGATCCTGGATTGAGCATAGGGTTGGACTAGATAACCTCCTGAAGTTGCCTTCCAGCCCTGCTTTTGTATGACTGTCACACATTCACTTAGGGCCTGTCCCTTAGTTGGATGATTTCTCCTCTCACTCTGGCAGCATGAAGGGGTCTGAAAGTGAGTGTAAACAGCCTCCTTGTTCCTGAAGTCTCCCCAGCTGGGGCAGAGCTGGTTTGTGTTATAAACTGGCTCAGCTCCCATTCCTATGCTGGGAACAGATCATGCAGGGGATCTCTGTTTGCTTGGACCCAGGGGAGGTGATAGGATGTATCAAGTTAGTTAAGCCACTGGGTTGGCTTGTGGCTCAGAAGCTGCCTGTGTGCTGAGGCTTGCACATCCTTCAGCCTCCAGTGTAAGTGCGTGTGCATGGAGCAGTAGACAAAGCAAAGCATCATCAGAACAGCTGGAGTTCCTCAGGGCACATATCTGTAATGCCCAGAGATTTGCAGCCTCCTGTGCTGCACTATGCACTATCCAAACGTAGACATTAGTGTCCTGTATGCCTGCCCATCACCACTGTATCTGAACACCCTCTACGTAAATTCAATCAGCAGAAACAAACTAGTAAACTCCTTTGAGTCTCTATCGCCTGTTCAGTTTTGGAAGAAAGGCAACTGGTTGATTCATTTGCTTCAGGGTTCTTTGGCTGGGTCATACTTGATTTGATGTTGAAAAGCGTCACTCAGTTTAGTCTCCAAGATGCCACCCTGCCCTGCCTTCTGTTTTACTATGGTGGGAAGCTGTTCTACTCAGTTCCCTCAGAGGGACACAGTACATTACTGGGCCCCATACTCCCCCAAGATGGAGAGAAGAGCATGTAGGAAGGAAGGAAGGAAGGAAGGATGGACTTCTAACTTGGGTTAGCTAGCAGACCACTCACTCCAGTAGCTGAATCTAGGCTGCTTCAGTGTATCTGGCTGGGAACCTGGCACAGCCCCTCAAAAACTAAGTCTGGTCAGCCCAGGGGGATGAAAAGTGCTAAGCTGTCCTGCTTAGCAAGGCCAAACTAATAGCTGGGGCTGAACAAATAATTCATTCATCGTTGATAAGAGGATTGTCAAAGGTGAAAATGAGAACTGGGCACTTAATTCCCATTCATGTTATTGAAAATCTCCCCTTGGCTTGATTAATTTGCTGCTTTTTTTCTGTGACTGTAAAAGGGTAGCCTGCCCATTCAGTGGCCTGGGACTGGTCAGCCCTGTTCAGTTAGCCTTGTCTACTGCACTTAGGATGGAGAAGTCCTAGTGGAAGGTCCCTGGCTGGGAAGAAAGCACAGAGACCTCTAGGGAGTGTGTGGCCTGCAGACCAGGAACTACCTGCTGCCTTCCAGGAGACTTGGTCCAGGAGAAGCAGCAAGAGAAGCTGGTGCTGCTGGGCCTTGCCTGCAAAGAAGGGAGCTGCAGGTTGGTCTCAGAGGCCGAGACGACACTGAAAGGAGTCTCCTGTGGTGAAGACTGAGGAGGGCCATCTGTGCCTTTGAGGAACTCAGGAGATGGAGAAGAGATGTGTTCAAGAAGAGGTGAGTGAGGAGATGGCCTGAGGAAGCAAAAAGGCATGGGTGGAAAATTGGCTCTGGCAGTCTTATGCAGGGGTTGTGGTTTGGCACCTAGGAGTGGGAGTGAGGTGGAGTCACTACAGATCAGAAGAAAGACTGTAGGGTACTATCCCCAAGATGGGAGAGGGACTCTATAGAGACTCACTCTGGAGTCTGGGGTCATGAATGAATCACCTGTTGGGACACAGCAATTGGTGATGAGAAAGGGACACTTGGAGCAAGCTCACCGCAGTGCTCCAGGTAACTGAGGGGCAGAGAGGAGCACCCACAGTGCAGCATGCGACAGCAAACCACAGTTCTCACTATTCTTCAAGTTCATAATGTGCTCACTGGTTATGATTGGCTGGGCGAGTCACATGGTAGCATCTCTGTTCTCTGATTGAATGGATGCGTGAGGTTCAGTCAACACTTGTAAAGAGTCATTTTGAAACTTTTCTTTCTCCAAATAGTTGAGTGTGTGATTGAGATTCAGTCTGTCCAGGCTGACAAGTGTACATCACACATGTTTCTGGAAAGCAAAAACAAAGGGCAGGAGCATGGCTGACGACATTGGGACGTAACCTTTGCCCCCAATCTTGGAGTGAGGTTTACCCCTGCCAAATTAAAGCCACTGAATTTTGTCAGTATTTAACAACTCTAATTATTACTAATTAGCACTGATATCAGTCTTTTCATCAAAGTACTTTTGGTCTGCTAGTTCAGTCCTACCCTGTGAAACAGAGTTCAACCTGATAGGCAGGGAAACTGCAGTACGGATTTTGCTGCTGTGTCGCTTGTTTCAGACCCTGGGTTTAAGAAGACCCTGGGTTTGTGACTCCTGAGTTCACAGCTGTGCGCTGTGCTGAAATACTCCATCTTGTAACCTTGATTTTTAAACTGAGTAATATTCAAAACACTTTGTACTGAGCAGCTGAAGCAGGGAAAAGTGAAGGGAATAAAGGACTGGCCACAGAGATAGTGAGCAGATGGTTACATTTACACCGTAAACTGGTGTACTAGGGACAGAGGCATGTCAGTTGGGGGCTTGTACCTAAGAAATGCTGAGCCACCACTGGAGGCAGCAAGTTCACTGGCTGACAAAGGTACTCAGCCTCTTCTTACAGGATCATGCCCTAAACCAGCTACAGATCCACCCCTACTGTAACAGTATCATGGACTAGACTATTAGAACATACTAGTGTAACCAATGGCATATTAGTTGTGACCCTGCACTGCCAGGCTTTGTGGATTTCCTTATCCTGGGCCTGAAGTAGGTGGACAGATACACTGTTGCTAACATTGGTGTAGAAAATCAAGGTGCATTTCCTTTATGGTAGGCCAGGGGTCAGCAACCTATGGCCTCTGAGCTGGATCCAGCCCACAGACATGACACTTCAGCGACCTTTGGCAGCAGGAGGCTTGGGCTGCAGGCCCATGGCATAGCGGGGACGAGGAGTGGTGGGAGACAGGTCCTAGTGTTGGCTCAGCTGCCTTTGACCCAGAGTGGGTTGTTCTGGCCCACGGGTGGAAGACGTTGCTTGCCCCTGCAAAAGGTGCATTGCAGGGAGCCACCTGAAACCCCCCAAATGGACTTTAAGGTCTGCGGGACAGCCCTTGGCCAGTGAGCCAGCACGTGGCTTTGACTGCACCCTGGTGTGGATAAGGAAGGCTGAAGATATCATCTACCTGCATCCCACCATCCTTTAATATCCAGAGCACGTGAAATAAGTCTAGCTTTATTTCCTTCCCTCTCCACTGGAAATGCACAGCAGGCGGCCGACTCTGCATTCAAGCCCAAAAGGTCCCCAATACTGCTGGAGCATTTACACTCCACCTCAGTTCTCAGGATCCCCAACATCTGCTGGCGCCACAGCCCTACTCTCCTCACCCACCCACGAGCGCAGCCCCAGGAGCCAGGACACCCCGGCTCTAGCTCCCCTCTGCCCCAGCTCTCAGGCCGCTCCCTAGAAGCCCCGTGCCTCAGTTTCCCTGGCGGGAGATGGGGGAGAAACACTCCTACCTACCCGGCGTGTTGGAAAGTTTAATGGGGCGTGCTCCTCGAGCGCCCCGGAGCCGGCACCTCCGAGCAGGCAGTGCCCGGCTCCCCAGCCTGGGGAGAGGCAACCGGAGCGGCCGCGGCTCCGCGCTCGCAAATGGCCGCTCGGCAGCGAGCTCCGCCTGCACCAGGGCCGGGGCTGCGGGCGCGGGGGGAGCCCGGGCCCGGCC